TAGATAGATAGATAGATAGATAGATAGATAGATAGATAGATAGATAGATAGATAGATAGATAAGATAGATAGATAATAGAATATCCATGTCTACATTTGTATGTAGAATATCCTGTGTTTCCCCAAAAATAAGACAGGTCTTATTTTCTTTTGACCCCCCCCCAAAAAAATAAGCATGGCTTTATTTTTGGGAAGGTCTTATTATTTCTGAGGTGCAGGAGGGGGCGAATGTGGTCACCTCATGGCTGCTGCTGTGTTGCAATATTTTTGGGAGAGGGCTTATTTTTGGGGGAAGGTTTATTAGCACATGCGCTCAAAAGCCCAATTGGGCTTATTATCCAGGGAGGTCTTATTTTGGGGAAAACAGGGTACACATAGAGTTATTCATAGGGAGATTTGAGTTACCACTGATTGATTGATTGACTGCTAGAATATCTATGTATTTTGCCTATAGAATTAGAATAAAATGATTATTTTTTTCAGACTTAATGTTTTCTGCTATTACATTTATCCAATGATTTTTCTTAAATCATGGCAACAAAGGGAGAAGGCGTGGAACTCTTTACAGAAGGTTCTGAAGAAAAAGAAAACCAATGAAAACAGCCCAGTGGTAAATTGAAAGCATGCATATTCAAGCAACAGGAGATGAAAGAGGATCCGTACCTTCTTTAGCAGTCTCAAAAACAACAACCGTCACATTGGTGGAAGGATTTTTTGGCTTTGCAACAGAGAATATATTGTTGGCAGATCGCAGCAGAGGATAGACAGATGGCAGGTCCTTAAGAGTAATGTTGTTTGGCAAAGCGGGGTCCAAGACAAGCATTGGCACTTTGATGCAATGCGTCAATAAACACTCCAGTTGTTTTTCACTAGGATCAAGAGAGGATCAAAGCCAGGCTTACATTTAGGATTAAAACTGCATAGCTTGTTATTTATGCACAACAGATGTTTGATCAAACAGAATCCGAAAAGCTAGTAGAGCCTTGTTTTTGGCATAGTTTTACTTTCAGCAGCTGATTGAGACCCCCATCTACCTTGTATATATGGTATCATTCAAAAAAAAGATTTCTCAAGTAAGACTTCATACCTTGTTGCGTACAGCTTAAATATATTACCCAGTTTAATCAAATACTTAAACTAGGGATGAGCTGGGAAACTATCAACAGCCTGTTTATTTAGAACATATCAATATGAACATAAGCAAGCATAGAAAAAGTACATATTTTGTGAACATGTTATTCATATACATACTAATATAATATTATTCACTTTCGTTTTGTAAAATGCTGGCCATTTAATTATTAAGATCATGTGGTTGATTGACTTAGGTCTATAGACACCTGGCAGGATGCAGCTGCCATTACATCTGTGGCTGGTACATTGCCAAGTTGATGGATTACTTCCTTATATGGATTACTATAATATAGAGGTAGGCAACATTTAAGAGGCTAGAAGCAGTAATGCACATTCTAAAAGGCCACTGGAGTTCATCCACTCAAATGGTAACCTCACCAGAGGAGGCACTTTCCCCCTCTGCTTTTTAGAAGATTTGGAGGGTTTTGAGTGTGGGAAATGGAAGCAGAAGGCCTCATGAAGCACTCTATTGCCATTCCACTTTTAATTTCAAAACAAAACAAAAACTTCCAAGCATCAAAGGTTCTTGGGGTGCAAAACTAGGCACACAAGGCCCTATCACATAATTTTTAACATTGTTTGACCTGGTTCTATTAAAAACGAATCACCCTCTTCTTCCTTCTATTAAGATGGCCCATTTATTGATCCTGCACATTAATTTTTATTCCACTACATCACCAGCAGGTCATTTTGCAATAGCATTTTTGACAGCTACTAGCTTGATTCATTTCAACCTGGTCATCCAAATAATTTAATTCTGTATCATATTTAAGCCTAAATATCTCTCTAAGAAAAGGGTCCCCAGCCCCCAGGCTATGGCCACTGCTGGCCCTCACCCTGTTTGGAAATGGGCCGTGTTGAATGGCAGGCAAGTGCATGCGCACAGCTCCATTTGCGCAAGTGGCAGGCAGTCGCGCACATGCCTGCCACTCATACAGAACAATCCACTCTAATCCCCCCACCAGGCTGCCAAGCCAGAAAGGCTGGAGACCACTGCTCTAAGATGACTTTTATAACATACTTATGCAGTATATGAGTCACAGTGGTACAGTGGTTAGAGTGCAGTACTGCAGGCTACTTCTGCTGACTGCTGACTGCTGGCTGCCTGCAATTTGGCAGTCTGAGTCTCATCAGGCTCAAGGTTGATTCAGCCATCCTTCACAGGTTGGTAAAATGAGGACCCAAATTGTTGGGGACAAGATGCTGTAAACTGCTTAGAGAGGGCTATAAAGCACTGTGAAGCGGTATATAAGTCTAAGTGCTATTTCTATTGCTATACATCGTATTTTTCAGAATATAAGATGCTCCAGAATATAAGACACACCTTAGTTTTGTGGGAGGAAAATAAGAAGAAAAAAAATCTGCCTCTGCTTACCAGCATCCATGGTATTCAGCTGACAACGTCAGCCAATAAATAGGCATAGTAACTAAGTTAATCAATGAGGGCATTTTGGACTCTGAAATTTGCTATGTGAGCAAGAAGGAGACAGGAAAGAGCCTGGCTTAACCGAGAACTGAAAGTGAAACTCCTTGTGTTTTGCTTGTATTTAGTGCTACCTTGGAAAACCTGCTTTTGTTAATGTATTGTATATTATTATTATTATTTTGAATCTTACTAAATCAGTTATTTGTGTGTGCTTTCTGAATGTGATTACTGCTGCAAACTCTGACCAGCCAAGTCAGCGTTAGCACTTATTGCAGCTTGATTCAGCACAGCTGATTGGCGGGTGGATCNTTTTTCTACTTGCATTTTTACATGCTTTTGAGCTGCTAGGTTGGCAGAAGCTGGGACAAGTAACGGGAGCTCACTCCATTACGCAGTGCTAGGGATTCGAACCACCGAACTTTCTGATCGACAAGCTCAGCGTCTTAGCCACTGAGCCACCATGTCCCTCCTGTTTAAACATTATATAGAGACTTTTCACTTACAAGTATCACAAAATATTAAAACAAAAGGGATTTAAAATTAGTGGCTTGGTTTTCCTGACAAAATATTTGGCTGCAATTCACAATTTATTACAAGCATATACATTAATTTTCCAGCAAATGTTTGGGAACATACCAAATATCCCCTCCATGCCGTTTGCTTGATACTCTCCTTCAACATCAGAGAATGGGCATCTTCAGCTGAAAGAATAAGGAATTCAAATTCCAATCGTTTCATAGGTTGTTAAGTGTTTCAAAAGGTAAAACTAAGATTTTACATATATTTTCCAGGAGCATGTTTTAAAGCATGGGAGAATGGAGATGACAATTCTATTAAGCTACATCATGCTACAGTTCTCTATCTTCAAAAATGAACACAGAGAGCCATTCCTTCCCAAATACGCTGTATAAACAAAAGCATACTAGTATTCTTTAATTAAGGCTAGGTAGGAAGGCCACAGCTCCTCATTCCTTTTTTTGATGGGAGGTGGGAAGATATCTTCAAATCAATGTTGACTCTGAGCAATTGCCTTAATAAAACCCTGCAGATTTTTTGGGCAAGTTTTTTGGAAGCAGTTTGCACTGCCTCTTTCCCAAGGATAAGAGAGTGACTGGCCCAAAGTCACCCAAGCAAGCTGTAACATTTACTTCTTGATTAAGAAATCAAGAAGTAAATATTTTGCCAAATATTTTCAAGACTGAGCACTGACTAGGCTTTCCCTCCCTCCCCCCATTTTCCTTCCCTCCCTCTCTCTACATACACGCACACTTAAAATGAGACTGGCTTTATTTGGAAAGTTAGTAGACAATCATATAGGATTCCAGATGAGAACGGAGAGGAAGCAATAAAAGATGAATCTCCCTATGAAAAGACATACTATATGAAAAATTATATTGGGAAATGGCATTTCACAAGGAGCTGGTGGGGGGAATCTGATTTTAAACCTGAGATAATATGCAACATCACTTCATGTTTTACAATATTATTTTTGTCTGCAAAATGAAACCTTCTCTTATAAGATAGATAGATAGATAGATAGATAGATAGATAGATAGATAGATAGATAGATAGATAGATAGATAGATAGATAGATAAGATAGATAGATAATAGA